GCCAAGAAGAGGAGGACACTAAGCGGATCTGGCATGTCTTCTTTCACGCGGTAACGAATGGCTAAGTGAGCGGTTGCCTGTGGGCGACAGAATGTGTGCACCGAGAGATTCTGTGTGCGCGCGCGAGAGAGAGCGTTTGGAAGAGCATGACATTTACCAGGTTCCGTGAATACGCATAAAGAGATTTTCTGTGTTGTATAACGGAAAGCACCGTGATCCCAATTGGACAGATTGATACAGTGGGGATGAGTGAAACCACCGAACGACTGCCGCACATTTTATTCAATCAGTAAACAAGCTATTGATCCACTGAGTGCGGATCGGTCAGTGTTCTGCTTTCCGTTTCCAGTGTTTGGTATTAAGTGCCTAAATCTACTGGTCGATTGATTGCATCGAATGTATGATTGAGGCATTTAACTGCAAAATCGATTTATCCAGGGCCATATATGATGCACAATTCCTAAACTTTATCAAATTCATATAACCAAAACAAAATGGTCGGCCAGTGTAGACCTCGAAACTCACACGAACGATCCACAGTATTGATTAATGTTCCATTTAAATATACTTCCCAATAATTGACCTTGAGAAATCGATTAAAAATGCCTTGTTCTGGTTGACATGTGATCACGGCCTTTTGATTCGGTTTGATAGGGAAAGTGTTGTAAACAATCCGTAAATTTTTATCCGGCATCGGGACTAAAAAATAAAACAGAAAGTGGTAAGAGATGATCCAGTGCCGTGATGTTCTCTTTTCCATTTCTATCTTCTTTAAATAAAAATACAAAGGATTTTCAGAAAGGGGAAGCGGCCATTGGAGAAAGTCAGGTGGTGGTGTTGATGGGATTCGAACACACGCCCTCTGGGGTAATAATTTTGATGACGCTATCACCGGGTCACCACCGCCCGCAAGAAGATGTAATGTCAGTGTGTAAAAAGATGATTGAACAAGTTATGCTAAATAGGATCGGAACGAAAGACGAAACGTTATTTTCACTAACATTCGAATCATTGTCAATTGAAAAAAAAGAAATACAACTTGAACACAGACGCAAAATCATGCAAGGATAGCACATAGTCAAAATGTTGCGAGTTATTCGACTCCCCGGTCATTCAATTTCGAGAAAACAGTCTGCATCAGGAGCTACTTTTGAGGTGTTCCTAGCAGGAAATTTAATCCACAATGGCCTGTAAAACAGTGTATATAGAGAGTCAGATTTCAAGGCAAAACCAGTCGCGAACCTCAGGGACACTAAGTTCAATCGATATTGTGATAATCGAGTTCGGAATTTTGGAACGAATTCCCGCATCTTTTCTTACGGGATCTGGAATCCCGACTTCTTGATGAAAAAACGGAACGAGCCAGGGAGACCGCCAAAAACATGAAATGGAAGATAATTTCTGGCATAGGCAAATGTCGGGGAAAAATCTTTCTTTTGTGCACAGAACAGACAGACAGCTTTCTGAACCTCATCTAAGGATCGATAGATTCATTATTTGAATTCCGTACGAACGATTTGAGTGGATTTGCAAAAGATGGCACTCGAAGGGAAATAACTAGTCTACAGCATATACTGTCAACAAAGTTAATTTTATATACATAGATGAGAATAGACAAAGATGGGTATAAGGATTGTGTGACAAGTTTCAACAACCCACAGTACAAGTGCGTTTAAATGCGACTATTTCTCAACCAGATTTCAGTTGAACCAGGACGACATATATGAATATTCGAACTTAAAATCGGCCTACGCTCATCTACGGAACTTTGCTGGCTGTCTTTTATAGGATCCCCTTACTAAATGCTGTTTCAAACGGTTGCAAACCAAAGCACAGACTGTGGGGCTCGTAAACCACCACAGTGATATGGCCTATCAAATCAGGATAGATCAACGTGGCATCATCATTGATCAATACACCAAGTGTCAGGGGGTTCACATTCTCCTGAAAATAGATCATTCCGAGACAGCCGAGGTCAGATCATTTCCAGTCCCAGCTAATCACCCATAAACACCCAGTGTTTATTTTGTGTGTGTGTGTGTGTGTGTGTGTGTGTGCGTGTGTGTATGCGCGATCGTAACCGGTCGAGTTAGGCCACCGGAGCAGGTTGACCAATTGAAAGACTCCTGTGTCCTGAGATTTTCTGTGAGATGTACAGATCATACAGTTATAACCTATTAGATCCGTATAGAAGGAATATTTGGATTAAGAACAACGAGTGGAAAACAAAAAAAGAACAACCTAATCCAATCCAATCCAATCCACAGATCATAATTCCTTCAATCGTATCTGTTCCAAACTTCGGATGTGATCCTGTGAAGTCATAAACTATTTTACAATTTTCAAAGCAAAATCCCACTAGTCAAATTCCTCCTGGTAAATGGATACCGTAAAGACCAGTCACAGGAACAACAAATCTATGGTTTAACACAAAAAAGACAGACAGATAGACAGACAGAGAGTGAGTATGAAGAAAATACCTTGATGTACGACCATTTTCCGAGAACGAGCGCGACCCAAATAGTTTTCGGCTTGACAAAAAAACACCATTCGCATAGTGGACGATCGAGCGGCTGTGAAATTCAACCACCCGTCGCCGACGATAATTTGATTATTGTGCGATTTGGACTGATCAAACAAACCGATCGATTCTTCCACATCCGGTTCCACGGAAACTTCGACTGGGTCGGCCTGATCAGCTTGTGGAGCTTCTCTGAACGCGAGGTCGAACGGAACACACAAAGAGAGAGAGAGAGAGGGGAACAATGAAACTGCTCGGTCGATTTGATTGATGTAGAAATAAAACCGTTTATTACGGGGTATATCAACGAGTAAGGTTCATGATTCTCGTGGAAAAATTCAGTTTAGTTAGAGATTGATCAATCAAAACAATATCAACTGGACAAATAATGTATAACTGTTTATGAATTAGGAGAGGAACGGCTACTACACGAACTCAACAGCCGGCAGTGGTGGCCCGGTGGTAACGTCACCGAATTATCATTCCGGAGGATCAGTGTTCAAATCCCACCACCGCCGTCTGATTTTCCTCATTGTGTGTTATGTTATATGGCAGACCTTTAGTTAGTCGCTTACTCCTTCCTGAAAATTGTATCACGATGTATTCAACACAAGGAAGTAAAAATGAAAAAGAAATGATTTCGGGGACGAAGGTGTAGAACACAGCAAGGGGGAACGTAGCAGTAGAGCGTTGTTAATCCAGCAAATGCACTGCGCATTCAGTCCGCCGTTTCTGTTACCCTGGAATGTTGCAGGATGTCTCTGGGTCATACGAATCACGAACTAGTGAGACCCATCGATCGATCGATCAAGTATCTTTTGTGCTAGTTAGTGCCAGCCAAACAATCGTACTAACGTGAAAACGAGTTGGGCGGCTCGACTATCTGGACAGTACTCACAGAGCAATGTGAGTACATAACTCTACGCGTGCAGCATCAGAATCGGATACACGACTGGGCAAAATGTGGAACAAATTTGACACGAAAAACAATATCGATTACGAATAAAACACGGAACTGATATGCGTGCTCTCAATCAGCTGTCTACGCAAATCAAATAGATGGGAATGTTACAAGAAGAATACGATATATGGACATTTATATAACTACATGGGTTTATGTGAAGAGCACTGGGTTCTTGATTCATTACCAAACTCACTTGGGTATGGGGGAAAGAGGACGGAATAATGATTAAAAAGATACAGAAAAAGGGGACTGTTAGCATAGAAACAGGTATGTAGCGGAAAACGACTAACCTCAGTAGGAGAGTTCAAAATGGTTATGTAATACAAAATAGATGCAACGAGAAATGAATTAGAACGGATGTAGAAAGGTAATGAGGTAGAAAATTGGTCAGCTAAGTGGGTGAAAAAGAGTTACGTAATATGGAAATGAGCAGGATGAAGTGTCAATGCTGAGAGGTAAGAGAACGGCTGAGATGAGGGGAAGGAAAGGGGAGGCAGTGACCATGGTAATAGCAACTGAATTACAAAGGCATTTTACACGCATAGGTCAGGCTTTAAACGGCTAATGACAATCGTTTCGGCAAACCTAAGCATCCTTGGGCTTCAAACTTTGAGCACAACGCGGAAAGCTTTGCGTTTGTCAATGCAGTGCCCGGGTTTCCAGAAAATGTCATGCCACCGCGCCTGCTGGAAGTTTTCCTCCCCGAAGTGATAAGCTATTCGGAACACGCTCACTCATTCGGATCGACAACCGGTGTTCAGCCGTTCCGACCTATTGCGAATCGCAATTACATTGAAAAAGATTGGAAGTGACCGAACCGTTGGATCTGTCTATGCTTGACCAAATTAGCGAGTTCCATGTCCCGTGATCAGCTTCGTGGGTAGGTGAATAGTCTCAACTGTTGTACGAAACCGACGGGCAATAACAATTCTGCTCATATTGCGTTACTTGTTTTATTCCAACGGATCAAAGGGAAAAGAGGTTTCCCAAATATCAATTTTACCCTCAGAAAACTGAGGTGATGGAAGCATCGGACCATAAAAGTAGCAAACGTTCTTTACAATCCGTTTGCCGTTTTCTACAATGTATCGTTCCCAAGCATCACGTATGACAGCAAATGAGTTCCATACTTTCCCTGTTTGTAACGCACTTTGTCACAAACTGACAACAATAAGTGAAATCATCAAAACACAGAGCGAGAGAGTTCTTTCCCCACGTTAGAATGAGATTGATTCTGTCCATAGTTCAGTCGACGAACAGCAGCAACACGTGACTTGGCATCCACACTCCAAGCCACACACACACAATCCAGCAGAGAACAACATTCCAGCCATGTTATGAATTGCACGTGGCTGGCTGAAGAACATTTTCATCGTCCACCATCAATCGGAGCTGGGGGAGACGGGCTTGGTGCTTTTGAAACCGATTACGTCAGAATTGGAGTGCATGATTGTTTGTGTTTTCATTTCACACACACACACACACACACACACACACACACACACCATACAGTGACCGAATCGGCACAAAGGAACGTCTGAGCCAAAACGGGTGTATGTGCATGCTGTGTTTGTTGCTGGTCTTTACGATCTGGGTTTAACCGATTGAGGTCGTGTTGATGATCACGTGTGTGTGTGTGTGTGTGTGTGTATACACATGTCCAATGCCCACGGTCACAGTCCAGTCCAGTCTACACGTTGCCGGGCTACAATGAAACAGCCAACAAATGATACTCGAATCGACAATAAATGTACAGGACTGAACAATGCGTTGTCTGCTTATTCACATACGTTTCGAATGTATAATATTTCACTCACTGACCATGTGAAAGGGCCAACACCTGTATAGAAACGACCAATTTTAGTTATTCTTGTGCTACCAACCGGAGGCTTTAAATGAAGAGAAGTACTTATGCGACTACAAACCAGTTGCAGTTGCATTTTGTGCAACCATTCATCATGCACCATCGTGCGCCGGTTTTGGTTGCTGTCTTTTGGCTTCCCATTTGGATGAACATAAGGAGAAAGACAGGAACGGTTGAAAGTAGGATCAAGGTGAAAAGTTAGAATTTCAGTGGACTAATGTTGCAGAGAAATTGACAAGATGCTCAAACGCCACTGTTTACGACACTCCGCCGTATCACCATCGGTGACCTTGATCTCGGGGCCCCCAACCAGGTAGCCTAACGGGACCTATGTGACCCAGACTCCTGGGTAGGGTTTTCATACCCTCATGCAGGTCTTAGTCTGACCGCCCTTGTCTTTCTTCCAACCGCTACCTACCTCGGCGAACATCGCTCACCGTGGCAACTACCCACTCATCATCATATATATATATATATATATAATAGTCACCCGATGTTGCAAACATGGTTATTGTGACGAAAATACACTTCCTGGGTACAAGTACATGAGCGAACTGACAAAAGTCTACTAGATACGTGAAACCGGTCGTGTGCTTCCAGGGAAATCTTGTCCAGTCATTCACATACTACTGATCATACCATTGCCTGAATTCGGTATTGGTCTCGAGGTCAGAAATGTTTCGACAAATTCTCTTCAAGACTCTGTCCAATCGCTAACTTCCAGAGATGAGAATGTGAGAGCCTGTACGAAGTTCACTTTCATCCTTTCATCCGATAAGACAAATCCAAACCCCGTCAATCTGCTTCTCCTGCCGTGAGACAATAATCTTGATTGAAAAACAAAAACGTTCCATGAATTTCATGTGAGCGGAATACTGGGAGGTTGCCCCAGGCAAGCTAGAGCTAAGACGGGTTAGGGGAAAGGTGTCAGTGTATAGGTCATCATCTGATCAACCTAGAAGGTACTAAACACGTGTTATACCTAAATGGCACTGTACTGTACTGTTCTTCCGCTTTCCGTTGCTGAGTTGTTGGGGATGAGGATCAACTTGTGTGCTTCCAACACCTCGGTCGTTCCGGTGAGATAAGTGGACAAAGGAGCGCGAAAATAGGTTTGGGTGATTAGGGAACGAAATCGTCCTGGGGTTGTAAACTTAAACCGGAAAGGGTGATCGAAACGCGGTCATCTTGTTGACTCTAGACAGCAGAAACGTTGATGATGTGAATGCTCCGAATGCGAAAAAGTTTTTTTCTTTTTTTTCGAGACAAATCATACTGTGAATCTCCCCTCTCGGTGTCTCTGTTGCCGAGGTCCGTCCTCTGGCTTGAACTTTTCCTTGGTTAGGTGAGCTATAGAGACCAAACGGTGTCACCCATGCCAGTGTTAGACAAAGCGTATTTCTTGCATCTTCTTTCGTCCCCGGCCTATCAAATATCGCACAATAAGCAACTGTCAAGCTTGCGCAACCTGTTCCCACGATAAAATCATCCGGTCCGAAGCT